CTATGGGTGTCTTTTTGTTAATAAAATAAAAAGTAGCATGTCTGTACTCTGGATCGTACACCTTTATTGACCAAAAACTTTTGTAAATCATGAACCGACCGCACCCTTGACCTATAATAATGACAAAGAACCAAAAGCCAAACAAAGGACACGTATCATTCAAGATATATTTGTAGCTTCATCTATATCGTACTTGGGTAATTCTAAAATTTGGAAGTTAGTTTGGAATCATTGTAAACGGATCCCCTTATTCGAATACAACCACCAGTTTGCCCTTACAATCTATTTTTTGGAGTTGCTGGAGGCTCGAGCATTGTTCTGAACCTGGAGCAGCAAGTGGTCGGTCAATTGGGTGACGAACCGATTGACAACATCTTGACAACCTACGTCGGGTGGCGTGCGGTGACAAGCTACTCCTGCGAGGTGGGTGAAGGTGGAGAGGCAGGATAACTAAGCGATCTCCATTGGCAACGATGGGCGAAGCCAGTCCCTATTTTTCATGGATCCAAAGAGGTTGGAAGGAAGGAGTAATTGTGTGTACTGCTACTCCCATGACGGCTGCGTGTTCGTTTTTGTACGTAACAGTTTGTAACGGATGTTACAGATTGCAATATTATGTTAGCAATAGGATTACCACCATATTTAAAAAATCGAAACAGTGAGGCTATCGGTTCAAAATTTGGAATACTTGGGGTGATTCTTTTAAAATACCAGCCCCGGATCAAATGAATACACGTATTATTGGAGCTAATCCGTTAATACATCATAAATTGTTGCTAGCCGAGTTGGTCATTGGGCCTTTAGTGTGCCTTTGGCTAAGGGTAATATTTCCCTAGCTTTTACTAAAAGACCGATGCATCTTTAAAAACAGATAAGGTGTCGGTGGTATCATATAAACGGTGGTATCACCTGATATTTTCCCTCTTGGCATTACCAGTTTGCTTCTACTGAAATCCAAAAACAAGAAGCTATCTTCTTTATTAATAGCAAACTAATTATTACTGCCTCTGTAAATAAATATAAGACATTTCCTCTGAAACGTCTTATATTTATGTATAGAGGGAGTACAAAATAGTTGAAATTTTAGGTTCTATATAAGTCAAACATGCTTAAGTAATCAACAATATGGGGAAACATACTAAGACTTACAAAAAAATATAGTACGAAAATAGTTATATCTATACCTAATAATAAAGGAGCTATTGCTTCTTGCGGTACGTCATGAAAATCGCCCCAGAGTTGCCTATAAATTACTCACTGTGCCACCCGTAAGATAAGAAAACAATTCAATTTTATTTCAGAGTCGTCGTGGGGTTCGCTTCTTATAGAGCGATACCTCCTGATTTCACAAGCATGGAAGTGCCCCAATGGTTAAGCATTCAATCTTGCACGCTCGAGACCCAGCTTCAATAGCCAGGTTTATCCACCCTTTTTCTCGCCTTTTCTCTCCTCACGGCACGAGGTCATGGGCCGGCCCATTGCACGCCACGTGTCGTCTTGTTTTTTCCATTTTGTTGTTTGCTTTCTCTGTCCTCAATTTTTTTTCCTTTTTCAAATTATTTTTGGATTTTCAAAATTTCCAAATTTCAAAAAGTTGCTAGTTTTGAAGAAAAATCGACAAATCACAATATGTTCGTGAATTAAAAAAAGCTTGGAAAACCGTAAAATATTCAGGATTTTAAAAAACAGTCCGTGTATTATAAACTAACTTTCCTACTCTGATAGCACCTCTGAACGGCAGGTACCCAGATCATTTTTGAAAAACTTATCAAGAAATTAAAATATTCAAGATTTTTAAAATGGTCGTATATTCCAATCATATCCGTGAATTTGGAAAAGAATTTTCATGAAATTTGGAAAATACCAACTTATATGATTTGAAAAAACTGATCGGGAAATACAATAATGTTCATGATTTTGATAAAAATAATCGCGTATTCAAAACATATTCATGAATCTGGAAAACTGTCTATGAAATTTTAGAAGATGTTCACAAAAATTCAAAAACATGTCGCGAATTTGAAAAGTTGTCCCCAATTTTTTTTAAAAGCTCATCGATTCAAAAAATGTTTGTTGAGTCAAGAATGTTCATGAATTCACAAATTGTTCATGCATTTCAAAACATGTCGTCTCAACATAAGAAATGTTCGTAGTGGGCGTTCATGAAGTGTTTTATGTCTACGATTTGATTAGCTTTTGGAAAGTCTTTATATGTCTAGGCATTGGTAGCAGTTCGTGCTAGATGAGATTTGTTTTTAGAGTTTTAAACATTCCTTTACGTGGCACAATGACAAGTGTGGCGTGTAGTGAGAAACTCGTAACCATGGAATTTACCACGTCAAATGCTTTATGATTATGTGGACATCGCGGCCATCATAAGCGAGGGTGGAAAGAAAGATAAGTGACAATATGATGGGCTACCATGTTAAAATAGAGGATGCTCGCATGTCAAGGTATTGAGCCAGACTTATTTGGCTAGGACGTAATATTTTTGTCTTCCGTTCTAACGCACAAGTGCGTCAGGGAAATTGCCTCCGAAGGTATAAAATACTGCCCACTGATTCACTAAGTGATAAAAAAAAAACGTTTCCCGCAGGCGAATCCCTGCCTGGGCCGGTCCATGTAGTAACAACTTTCTATATTACACTCTGCGTGCTGGGAGAAAACACAGCGTGCTTCTTTGGGCCTGCCTATGTCCGCCGGCCTGTTATTCAATTTCGTTTTTTTTCATTTTTTTTCATTGTCGGTTTTTCCTACTTTAAATAATTTGAGACTATAAAAACCTTTAAATTCAAAATATGATAATTTTAAACTAAAATATTTAATAGTTCACAAATGCTTGTGGATTCAAAAAAATGCAATTTCTAAAAGTGTTCACAATTTTAAAACCAATGTTTAGAAAATCAAAAAATATTCATGGATATTTAAAAAAGTTAATGTATTAAAAAAGTTAATGAAATTGAATAAAATTTCAGCAATTTAAAAGATCCTAAAATTCCAAAAATTGTTTGTAACTTACAAAATAATGTATTGATTTATAAAATGTTCACTGATTCAAAAGATGATCATGCATTTTTTTAAATGAAAAAAATGTTCGTTAATTTCAAAATTTGTTTGACCAATTTCCAAAAAAATATTTGTCGATTCTAGAAATGTTTTCTTTTTCAATAAAATTGTTTCTAAATATGTTCACAAGTTTCTAGTTTTTTTGTAAATAGTATAAAATATTCATGCATTCAAAAAATATTTATGATTTTATAAAATGTTTGAAAATCTGTAGAAATGTTCATGAATTTAAAAAATGTTAATGAGTTTAGATATGTTGATGAGTTTAAAATAATGTTCATGATTTTAAAAAAGTGTTCACGATTTCAGGGAAATAAGAGTGAACTGTATCTCATTGATACGACACAATATGATCATGGCTATTGAAGATTATATTTCTTTTTCATTGCAGTGCAACGGTCATTCTGTAAGTATTTAATAATAAAGAATCTATTGAGACTAATTTAGTGTTTGAAATGTTAATAGTATTAGCAAAAGTGCCCGTTGCAACAAGAGAGAAGATAATACATGCTCTTAACCTAATAATCGTGACTTAAGATACTAATAGGTCCACGTCCTCTATTTTCACATGGTGCCAACGATAGCCTCAGTGTTTACACAACGAAGATGCATTTGAATATGGTTAGTTGTAAGGCGTCTCTCTCGCTCATTCTCGCGCGCCTGCATGCACACTCGTTCAGAATAAGATAAGAAATATGTTGTTTTCCCCTCGAGGTTTTCACAGGTCTTTATGTGTGGTTATCGATGTTTTGTTTTGTCTAAATTTGATTTTAGTGGGTGTTTATTTGTAATTCGGATCGCCACTGGTACGGAAGAAAAATAGATCGTGCATTATATATTAAGTGTGCACTAAAAATAATATCTTAGAAGTATTTAACAGCTAAAAATAACCTCATATTTAGATTCTGCATATTTTTCTAATCAAATTTCATATATAACATGCTAGAATCGGAGTTATAATTTAAAAGATATGTATAATTTTGTTTTAGATAAACTGTGTATTAATTAACCGAAACATCAGTTTTTTTTGTTAAATTACAAAAACGATCCGGCTGACTTAAATACGAACCGTGGGTTGCTTACTATAGAAGGCAGGGGGTTTTGTGCAAAACATAAAAAAAAGATGCATTCTCACTCAAAGATGGACTTTGGATTAATTAATAGAAAAGGCAGGGGATTTTCTGCAAAAAGATGCGACGGACTACATAAACAATTCGTACTTTATTAATATGGAAAGATATATTTCTATAGTCTTTTCAAACGTAAACAAGATTGAGTTGATACAAGTGAAGTGTATCTACGGCAAAATGTGATCATGGGAATTAAAGATTATGATTTTCATTCCGTTCTGCAAGTATTTAATAAAGAATCTATTGAGACTAAATTGGTGTTCGAGATGTTAGAGCATGTACACTGATTGATAAAATGTCTACAATGAATCATCTCTTAATTTTATCTTCAATAATTAGCTGTTCTTAAAAACATGTGAGACAAATTATGCTAAAAGATCATCTCTTGTCTTCTCTTAAATAAGAGAAGACAAGACTTCTCTTATTATTTTATCTCTCCTCCACCTAATCATTTATCCTATGTGACATTGTTAAGGCATTATTAAGATAGAACCATGCCCTTAATAGTATATATTTCTATACTCGTGTCAAACTTAAACAAGATTGAGTTGTGACAAATCCAGAACTTCAATTATTCTGGAACAAAGGGAGTAAATAGGTAAGCAAGCAAGTGAACGTTACTGAATAGATTCACCTGTGATTTATTTAGTTATACAACACTGGACCACTACGGAGGCAAAGGCAGTACAATAACTGGCTTACTGAAACTACAGAGCACGGGCTGATCGATGGAGCTAAGTTGCACTAGTAGAGTAGTAGTTGTTCTTGCTGCTGCCGTTGACGTCTGCGTTGGCATTGGTCATGTCAGACGGCGGCGGGCCTCTCCACATCCTCCATCTCCTCCTCCCGGACGAACACCGTCTGGTCCAGCACCGACGCCGGCCCGCCCACGCCTCCGTACAGGTGCTGCGGTGGGGCGGGATGCGCGCCGCCGCCGTGGGCGTCGGCGTCGGCATCGGCATCGGCGGGGACGAAGGCGCCCGTGTCCTGGTCGGCCCAAGACGCCGCTGACCCCTCCGTGGCACCTCCGAACAGGTGCGGTGGAGCGGCAGCCGAGCCGCCGCCGTGGGTATCGACGTGGGCGGGGCCGAAGACGCCCGTGTCCTGGTCGGGCACCCACGACGCGTCCTCGCCGCCGTCAAGCGCGCCGCCGATGGTGGCGACGTGCTCCTCGCCCTGGAGCACCTCGACGTTCTTGCGGTTCAGCGCCGCCTCCACCTGTGCCCCCGTCACCGTCGCAGCGGGGGCGCGCACGTCCTTGTACTGCTCCTCCTCCCGCCGCGCGGTGGCCGAGGAGTGGTTCATGCTGGCGCTGTTCCTGCGAGCACACAGGACAGGACGATGCCGCCATGAATGACTGAGACTTCTACAGCAAGCAGGCAATAAAGCTGGTTAGTTACCTGCACCAGGCGAGAAGAGGCGTCGCCCTGGTCTGGCCGGCCACCCGGCGGCCGGCGGCGGTCAGTGCTCGCGCAGCCATGGTCGAGAGAGATCGAAGCGGCAGCTGGTTTCCTCCTCGCGAGCTCGGTACAGAAGATCGTGATGTGTCTGGGAGGGAGAGCAGAGCACGAGCTTATCCACGCGGGTGGAGCTGAGACATGAGATCGAGTTCTCTTCTTCGTCCTGTACCTCGATGGGCGGTGGCTTTATTAATGAGTTACTGCTCCCGACGGAGTGCCGGTGCAGGACGAGTGGTGGTAAGAGAGCGCGAGGAATGGCGAGGCGACACGCGGAGCGGCGCCATTGACGAGACATGGCACAGCAGGAGGTCGGTGATGAGGTGGAAGAAAACCAACGGAGACACGCCCGCGCTGCCGCTGCATGCAACCGCCCTTTCCGTCGGAAGAGGACACGCGATGGCATCACAAAACTCCGGCATATTTGCCAGCAGTAGCACTGCTCTCCCATGAGATCGATGTTTCCAACTAAAGTTTCGGGGTTAACTAAAATTTCATATTTCCTCCGTTTCCTTTTTACTTTGATAGTATTACTTTTTGAAGTCAAATTTATTAGTAGGATTTGTATTAAAAAAATACTAACATCTACTGTACAATGCTAAATAAATACTCCAAACCAACCAAATGGCCGATCTAGTATGATGAATGTTGGTATTTTTTTCATAAGTTTGATCAAAATTTAAAAGGTTTGACTTGAAACAAACCAAATATGCAAAGAAAAAAGAATTTGAGAAAATATTTTAATTAGCATAAGATTTAAAATGGGCAATTTAGCGACCAACGGTGTAAGTTTAAATTCCATACGGAGAGAGGTGGATACAAAAATTACTGGATCTTGGATGCTGATGTGAAACTTAATTGCAAGTGCATGCCACCAAGACCAACTTCAGGCATGTAAACTTGTATAAAAAAACTCAAGACATTTTACTTTTTGGTGTAATTGGTATCTTCGCGATATTAATATATACTCCCTCCCTCCCAAAATAAGTGTCTTGAGCTTAGTACAAATTTGTACTAGAGCTAGTACAAAATTGAGACACTTATTTTGGGATAGAGGGAGTATTCTTTATTGAAAAAATGAAAATGACACAATGATGTACCTAATGGTATGTATTTGCCATTCTCCATAAACCTGGTCTAAATTTGCAACTTTTGACTTTTGAATCAAATCTGTATACACTATGTACTATAGAATGATGGGAGTACCAACTAGCCCCATGCAACCTTCACATGTAACCACAGGCCGACACGTGTTTTGCGACCCAAATCTTAGATATATTCCAGCCCAAAAGAAGACGCACCTGAAGCTCATTCGTCGACAGCACACCGTTTCCCCCCACATCACAGATCAACAATGATGCAAAAGTTGATCTGGCAAATATTTTACCTACTCTTCAGACCCCAAAAAAGAGTGGAAAACCTTTGAACAAATGACAAAGATGACAATGAGCATCACTGCGGAAAGAGAAGGGAGACCTCTGGATGAACCATGAGATGGTAAAAGCACATGATAGCTGCACACTCAGAGGTCGGCCATCTGGATCCCCTAGTCTAGAGTTGGAAAAAGTGTCTAAAACAAGCGAATTCTTTTTTGCAAGGCACAAATTCCAATGTTGCGACGAGGGCAAAGTGGATGTACACACGTCATGTTCCTGCAAAGCAGCAAAGGAGAGATTTTTTTGGCATGCAAAGGAGAGATGACAAAAGATCTTGAGCAAACATGCTTCAGGTTCTCGACAATTCTTCAGCTACGGTACCCTGCCTACCCAAGAATACTGTTTTATTACTGAGAAAAAATAGGTAACAGGACGTAGCAACAGATGTGGCCATTCTAGCCCCGCACAAAAGCCTTCAGCATCAACCACAAAGTGGAAGGTCTGTAATCGACGCTGTGGAATCCGATACCGAAACAATCCAGCACCCGATCGCCCGAGGCGCCGCATCAACATGCCGCCTGTTTTGATGGTGTAAAAATGGACATGAAATTCACACTAAGAATCTCACAATAAAATAAAAACTAAAGCATGAGGAAAGCAAAAAGCCTACAGATGACATGGGAGGCAGGCAGGCAGTTGAAAGTTAAACAGCCCACAGCCCGAAATCAATAATTTCACTGCAAAGTATATACCACAGCAATGTACCCAACTATTTCCAAGGGGTAAAAATGGACACAGAAATTTCACAATCCACAACAAGGTAGAAAGTGAAACGTGAGGAAAGCAAAACCTCCAGACATGAGAAGCAAGCGGCTCAAGCTTTAACCATCGCACTGCCTGAAATCACCTCACTGGAAGGCCTTTTCTGGGTGAATTCCATCGATTTTGGAATGATGAGGGAAGTCGTGCGGCATATCTTCAGGTTTCAGACCAGCTCCTCTCAAGGCCTGCACGACCTCCTTGTGGACCAGGGCGTTTCCTTCCGGCGTCAGATGCAGTCCATCACTAGGAGATATGGAAACAGTTATTTCATAAGCTGTCAAAACGAATGCATGCAGTAACTGATGTTTCCCAAGAAGCTTATGTTCATATATACAAGGTGCAAGCAGCCGCTTCTGTGAGGTGAGGGCTCCAACAACTAAGCTGATTTGATCATTTTCTCGGAAGAACTTGCGGTTCTTTTCCCAGTTCCCAAGAATCTCCATTCAACAAAGGTAAATAGATCTGATAAAGCATTACCTTAAGTAAAGTTTCTGCCAACCTTCAGCTGCTTGCATCTTTGACCAAATATCAATGCAGTGAACATCCATTTCTTTGGCTAGTTCTATGCATTGACCTGCATAGACACCAGCCATTTCATTTGTCCTTTCAGGGAGCCTTCTCGCATCTTCTCCATATAGCGATCTTGAGGACAAAATACAAGCAATCAACAACTAAGAAATTACATGTGATGTATACAGTAAAGCTTGTGGAAAATGAAACGTGTCAGTCACTGCAGATAACATGAATGATAAATAACAAATGAATTAATATTCCATAACTCGAGCATTCCCACACAATAAAGAACTCATAAAAAACGCAACAAATGATAGCAAACCACAAACTGGGCCTGAGTAGAACTGACAGAAAAAGTATTGGCTTTCTTGGCTCTCATTTCTTTCTTTCCATGCCAGTCAGTTACTAAAGTTTATAGAGCAAACATGAACAGTTCAAGAGGAGAAGTGATGCCAACCGTGCATATCTTTCTCTTCCATCTTCATCAATAGGAGGTGGAGTGATAAGCAAAATTACCATGGACTTGGAACAATCCTGTATTGTGATGAAATGTCAGATTACAAATAATTTGAAGGATTGATACTTCATATTACCCCTAAAGAAATACTATTGAAAAATATATGCCGACGTAGATTTACCTCGGCATACCTACTTCAACTAGATATAAGAAAGATCGATATTTTCAAACAATGCAACACATTTAACTGTATGACACACCAGGAGACCCTGAGGTCGATGCTGCCATATCAACATGGATGTTTCTATTCCAACAGTACTAATTGTTAGGTAAAGACACTTCAAGAAACCAATGAGTTAAATGACTGGCAATCAATTCTGAAATGGAGGTTCCATAAGTTCTGTATGACAGATGACAAGCAAGATGTGAATACTGCTTCTTAATCTTCCTGACATAGAAACCACAAAAAACACTCCAGCTACCTATGATCCTAAGCAAGCCAATCCACAGTTCAACGGATATGTACCTCTAGGCAGGCAGAGTTAGAGCTAGTCTGAGACAGCTTCAAATCAGAGTTCCAAAAGCAAATATAAGCCAATACACTTCAAACTAGTTGGGAACATTATTATTTTTCGTTTCGAAAGTTACCTTCAGATGATTAACAATTGTTTTGAGATTCTGTCTATACTCCTCAACCGGAACATGTTGCCGCTGACTTGTTCGTCCTGGAAGCGCTGCATCATTAGCGCCAAAGAAAATAGTCGTCGCAACAGGTGGTAACCCAACCTGCATCATAGGGACTATTCATTAACTTACCACAGATCAGCGTGGTAATCTCATAATTTAACACCTGAGCAGCCGGATGCAAGCCGTTCGTACCAGGGGGAAAATGCGCTGGATCAGGAACAGGGCCCATCTTGAGTTGTACCCACCATAGCCTCTGACAACAACATCAGCCTGAAACACCAGGAAAAAAAATCACTGGATACCGGCACGGATACACCAGGAAACGACAGGGATTTGATTTGAGAATCGATGGGGTCTGATTCGACCTTGCGGGAGTAGGTGTTGGCGAGGGCCGCTCCCCACCCGCCGGGGCGGAAGGACTGCTCGGTGATGGAGTCGCCGAAGAGCACCAGACGTGGCCGCAGCATGTCTTGGGATCCCGCTGCCCCTACCAATGCCAAAAGTTAGAGAGCTATGTGAGAGGGACTGGAGTTGGCGGGATGAGGGTGGGAGAGCAATGCAGCAAACCACCTGAAGCGTCGGCGAGGCAGATGGGAGGGTGGCCGGCAGATGGAGCCGCCATTGACGGGCAGAATCCGGGCATCGTCATCAAGACTGAGGCCTTACTAGCAGTCAGGAGTATCTAGGCCCCCTAAAATTTTACCTTTCCCCCCTGATCTGCAAGAGTTAAAATGGCAGCTATAGTTAGAGCAGAGCAGGTACTGTAATCACCATACAGTTTCAAAGGAGTGAGCACAGAGACACAAAGTCATTCGACACAAGAGCGCCTAAATGGGGGCATAGAGAGAACCGAAGTTGTATCAAAGAACAAAAATGAATACAAACATGCTTGCAATCCTACCTACTGTAGATACTAGACGTTCGATGGAAGCAAAAGCTGAAATCATTGTGGAGTTGCAGTTAGCAGTCCACAATAATGAATCCTGGTTCTTAACAGCTAGAAGGAGAATCTTGGTCTAGTCCATTGCTAAAGGAAGGAAGGCATGGGAGAGCAGAGGAATCGAGCCGCTCCCCCCGCCAGCTCAATGGAGAAGATCTGGGGCTCCTACTGCCTGGCACGGGTTGATCTAGAAGCATCTAACGTTGATGCCTAGATTCATACACGCAGAGCAAACTAGATCAGGGGGTTGGAGGGTGGGTGGATCGGATCGAACCTGGTCTGATCAGGTCATCAGTGATTCAGTGGTCGGCGTCGCGGCGCGGGGCGGCGAAGCTCGGTGGGGTACGCGCCGACTGGCTCAGGGCCTCAGGAGGGCGTAGAGGGGGCGCCGCCGCGTTCGATTCCGCCGGCGGCGGGCCGTCTCGCTCCTGTAGTCCTCCACGGGATGTGCGCTGAGATTCAGTCGCTAGCTCTGCCAACATAAGGCCAACCTAGCCTCTCATCTATGCCCTGCAAAGCAGATCCAACGGCGTAGGTTTTATAAAAGCCAAAACAGTATACAAGAATAAACTATAGAGTACTCCCCCCTTCCGCAAATATTAAAATGTTTTGGAGACTACAAGCACACTAAAATGAATGAACAAACACACGAATGCGTCTGTATATAATCTTAATCAAAAAAAAAAGGATAGAACATCTTATAATAGTGAACGAAGGGAGTACTATATAGTATAGCTGGCCAAACAGGCCGGCCCGGCCTGGCACGGCACGGCCCATCCTAATCGTGCCTGGCACGGCCCGGCCCGCCTAGGCACGATTATTATACGGGACGGGCCGTGCCAGCCCGCGTGCTGCAGCCTGCAGCCCAGGCACGGCCTGTATACTAATCGGGTCGGCCCACCGGCACGCCAGGCCCACTAATCTATCTCCTATTTTGCGCATTGAGCGTTTTTTAGCCTATTTTTACCTGTTGGCCCATATTAGAATATATAAAAAAATATAAAAAAGTTAATCGGGCCGTGACGTGCCGGCCCGCGTGCTCGCCCTTCAGGCCCAGGCACGGCCCATGGCGTGCCGCGTGCCGGGCCCGGCCCGTTTAGCACGTGTCGTGTCGTGCCAGGCCCGTGCCGTGCCGGCCGTGCTACCGGGCCGGCCCAACTATCCCGGCCCGTTTGGCCAGCTATACTATATAGAAGAAAAAACTAAAGAGATTGCACACAACATTTTTCTTTAAAAAAAGGCAAAAAATAAGGAGATCAAAAAACATCATTTAAGGGCATGTGCTTTTGAGGCCTATAACAGCTTATTGTCGAGATAAGCAAAAGCCCCAAAGAACTCATTTTGGGATAGAGCTTAACTTATTTCCACAGACATCTTCACAATGGAAAAATCTGTGGAAGGGCAGTTTCCCACAGCTCATCACTTAAAACAAAACAATATAACCCCTTGCCCCGAGAGGTGCACTTAATTACTCCGGAAATGTTATCGTGTCAACCCCACGTCCCACCTCTCGCCACTGAAAGAAAACGGTGCCTCACCACCC